AAAAAAAAACACACACACACACCGATGACAAATTGAAAATAAAAAGGAACCATTCTCTTCAAATCCTTCTTATAAGCAATAGCAAATAAGAACATCCATAATTGGATTAAAGGGAAAAATTAAAATTCAATTATGATAAAATACTTAAATTTACACTTAAAATATAGTGACAGGAACGAATCCATCATAACAAAAAAAAAAGAGAATAAATTCACTAATAAAATTTTTTATTTTGACAAATCACTTTAAATTTAATATATGATATCATTTTACGTCAATAATCTATTAATTTATTGTGTCACTAATAAATTCATTATTAACGAATGATTGACATTAGATAATATCACACGTTAAGTTTAAATTTAAAGTGATTTATCGAAGTTAAACAATGTGTGAATGAATTTGTACCTATTTTTTATTCAAGTGAATCCATTTTTATCATTATATTTTAGAGGTAAATTTTAATATTCTACCTTCAATCGCTACCCCATCTTGCCTCTTTATATTGGTGATATAAAAATAATTGTACGTAAATTATGATATTTAAAAAAAAAAATTGTGAGTTACATTAAAAAAAAAAAAAAACAACAACTCTTCCTTATTTTTAATTAACCCTTTTTACATAATATGAACTCAGAATTAAAATCACTTGGTTTTCATAACCCTTAAATTACGGTGATTCCCGAAATCCGAACAACAACTACCATTCAGGTGCAACGACAGTTACGACGGTAGGGTGAGCACGTGGGTTCAAGGTTCGGACACAACCGAAAAATCAGGTGGAACGTGCGTGGTTTTTTTTTTTTTTTTGGGTTCATCGTTAGAAGGTGCGTTGCCTGTACTGTAACAACAAACAACTTTTAAAGTATTTAACTGGCAGACTTCGCTTGACTTCCACGGCCCGCTGCTGTCTGAAATCTTCGTGTAAGATAAACAGTATTTAATTTAAGAAAAAAAGGGAAAACAATACGAAAAGATGGGGACTGAGGGGCAGACTGTGTGCGTCACTGGCGCTTCTGGGTTCATCGGGTCATGGCTGATCATGCGACTGCTCGAGCGCGGGTACTCCGTCCGGGCCACCGTCCGGGACCCTGGTCCGGTTCCTATTATCATAGCTCACCAATTTAATTTGACCCCTTTTTTGTTTTTTTCGTACTTCTGCATTTTTTTTACCCAATTTTTGATTTCATACTTTCAGCAAATGAGAAAAAGGTAAAGCATTTGTTGGATTTGCCTAATGCCAAAACCCACTTGACCCTGTGGAAGGCCGATTTGGCTGATGAGGGAAGCTTCGACGACCCAATTCAGGGATGCACAGGGGTTTTCCATGTTGCCACTCCCATGGATTTTGAATCCAAGGACCCTGAGGTTTGCTCTTAGACATACCAAATAACTAAAACTTTTATTAATTTTCTGTTTAATTACCTTGATCACTTCCTGTCACCTAAAACAGAATGAAGTAATAAAACCAACCATAAATGGAGTGTTAAGTATCATGAAAGCATGTGCCAGTGCCAAAACAGTTAGAAGGTTGGTTTTTACATCATCTGCTGGAACTCTAGATGTTCAAGAACACCAAAAACAGGTCTATGATGAAAACAGCTGGAGTGATTTGGACTTTGTCCTGAGAGTAAAGATGACTGGATGGGTTAGTATATATATGAGTTCTTCTTTATGCACTTACAATTTTTCTACCAAAAAAAGAACTAAATTTGATCAAGAGATCTTTTTTCCTGGTGTAATTGTAGATGTATTTTGTGTCCAAGACAAAGGCAGAACAGGCAGCCTGGGAATTTGCTAAGGAGAACAACATTGCTTTTGTCAGTATAATCCCACCTCTTGTTGTTGGTCCTTTTCTTATGTCTTCAATGCCACCTAGCTTGATAACTGCACTTTCCCCCATTACAGGTACCCTGTTGGTTTCTATATAATAACAAGACAGTTAATTAGTTTGAAACTGATGTCTAATGCTCTAGGATTTGTCTGCATTCTGCAGGGCTGGAAAGCCATTACCATATTATAAAGGAAGGCCAATTTGTGCATCTTGATGACCTCTGCATGGGGCACATATTCCTTTTTGAGCATCCTAAGGCAGAGGGCCGCTACATTTGTGCCTCCCACAATGCCAGCATTTTCGATATTGTGAGACTGCTCAGGGAAAAATACCCCGAGTATAATGTTCCTACTGAGTAAGTTTTCTTGATGGTAAATTAGGATGTTAGTTTAATTATGATATCTAAAATTTGATATGAATGGGGGATTTGTTCTGTACGTTCAGGTTCAAAGGTATAAACGAAAAGGACTTAAAGGGGATAGTCTTCTCGTCCAAGAAGATCAAGGATTTGGGTTTTGAGTTCAAATACAGCTTGGAAGACATGTTTACAGGAGCTGTTGATACATGCCGAGCGAAGGGATTGCTTCCTCATTCTTATAATGAGAAGAAGGATGTCACTGGCACAACCTGACTGAGATAGGATTACTAAGATGGGTGTCATACTGTCATGTACCATTGATCACTGTGCCTTCTATTTCTGAGTTTGAGCTTTGTGTTCGTTTTTTTTTTTATTAACCTTCCAATATCTGATAATCACTTTGGGTCCCGATTAATCTGGAATTGAACTGTGTCGGATCCTATTAGGGGAGAAGCTCTCCCAACGCCTGTTTCTCCATTCATAAGACTCGAACTCGATACCTTATTTAAGGGGAATCGAGCTCCTTCCACTCTGATCAACAGCTCGTTGGTTGAGCTTTGTGTTTGTTGTGCTGCATTGCTGATTCAATAATTTGATATTGAATGAATGCCAATACGATGCTTTGAGCCTTTGAACCTTGAGGGCCACTTTCCTAAATCGAGAAATAATTGTTACTCCCACATTCCATAATATATTTTTTAAATTAAAATTTTGTTCTAAATTAACTAAAATATATATACTTTCAATATAAATTACAAAATTTAACATGGTTAAATGCATATCAATAAATAAAATTTCTTTAATTAAAAGGTTATAAATATTATATTAATATAAAAATTGACATACATGACATACATGATTTATTAATAGATTTTTTAATCTTATAATTTATTTTTGAAAATATTAATTAAAATATGAATTTTTAATGAATGGGAGATTAAGTTGTCTCAAAAATTGAAGTTTGAGGATACGTTTAGTATTTTTTTAAATTTAATGATAAATTTAGTTCAAAAATAAAGTTGAGGATTAAATTAGTATTTAACCATTAGATTTTAACCTCATAGTAAATAATACACCTCTTAAACAACATTCTTTTATACTTTTCTCGGCAATAATACTAAATAAGTAGAGAATATTTGTCCGAACCGTGCGGCTTATAACGGGTGATTCATCTCCAAATCTTAAAGTATTTGGGTTTAATTGATTAATTCGATTCCTGTCAACCTCTTAAAAAAATATAAGAATTAATAAGGAAGGAAATTTGACCGGGTCAGTCCGGGATGGTCCCCTAACTAGGCAATTAATCCTATGACGGGCCCCCTTGAATTTTTTATATCGGACCGGTCTTGGTCAGTCCGGGTCGTCCGATCCGACCGCCCCCCTACTCAATGTCACCCTCGATTTCCACTTTTCCAGTTCTCCTGACAGTCTGAAACAGTGAGTAATCCTTGGCTGCTGTCATTTCCCACCAAAACGATGGCGGCGATCGGTTCCAACTGTGCCTTCCGATCAGAGAAAGTTCCTCTCTCGGCCCCCTCTTACTCTTCCTCCGATGCCGGTCTCAGATTTTCCCGCGTTTCGGTAGCTTCAACTCCTCGATTTCCTGTAATCCGTCGAAACATCTCATGCCAAGCTTGGTCAGCCGCCGCCTCACCTTCTTCTTCCGTCAATGGTAAAGGTGAATGTTTTAACCTTGGATGTACGCTTACCTTTTTATTTTTATTTTATTTTCCCAATTTCAATGTCGGTAAGTGTTTCATTCAATTGGATGTGAGGTTTGGTGATTATGCTTTAGATTAGAGTTCAGATGCTTTGTGATAGTAGGAATGTTTGTAGATGTTCTCCGAGGTTGTAAAAGTTCATCAGATAAAGTAATGTTGGTGTTGCTGGATAATGCGGCAACTAGGTTTCTCTGCTATTGGTTTTCTGCTTGTTTTGTGTCAAAATGTTCATATGGTGGAAAATTTAGGGTTTATGATCTTTGTTGTTGATTACGTTATGTTATCCTTTATATGTCATAGTAATTAAATTCTTTTGTTTGTTTAGGGAGTTGATGAGGTTGATAGCTTTCAAAGAATTTTGTTCCTTTTATGCTGTAATGCATCAAAAATTGCTTTTGTTAATAAATTTCACACCATAATGCATCAAATACTCTTACTCAAATGGTTTTTAAGTGATTTGCTTTATGGTTGTCATGTTTGTTTGTTCTCCTTGGTAAATTTTCCTATTGTTTGTTGGACTCTGTCATTTTACAGCAAAAGGAGAAATGAAGGATTTTCTGCACATTAATGACTTTGACAAAGACACCATAATGAGGATTTTACAGAGGGCTGCAGAGGTTAAAGCAGTCCTAAAATCAGGAGACAGGACATTTCTTCCTTTTAAAGGGAAAACAATGGCAATGATCTTTGCAAAGCCCTCTATGAGGACAAGGGTTTCATTTGAGACTGGGTTTTTCTTGCTTGGAGGCCATGCTATTTATTTAGGACCTGATGATATCCAGATGGGTAAGCGGGAGGAAACTTGTGATGTTGCGCGAGTTCTATCTGGGTACAATGACATTATCATGGCACGTGTCTTTGCTCATAAGGTATGCTGTAATGGTGGTGAGTTTGTTGTGTTTAGAGGTAAATTTGTCTGATAGCAATGCTGTTTGACTGTTTTCTTGGAAGCGTGGGTTTGTCTTAAACTCCAGACAAACAGTGCGTATTATTAATTTTATCTGATATGTTTTGTTAACTTCGAGTTAAATATGACAAAGGAAAGAAAAAATTATGAACAGAAGTTCAAATGGTTCCTCTGGTTCCTCTGATCTGTAAACAAATCTTTCAGATCTCCAAATCTATAACCCTTGTACTCTTCCTTGAAAGATATGCTGTGACAAATCCTATTTTTGCATTTATTTTCTTTTCTGATTTGTGTGGCTTACAAGTTTTGTTTAAGAACCACTACTAATAGTAAAGATGTTAATGTTTTGCAGGGCATGGATTGCAACTTCAGTTTCTGATTTCAAGAGATTTTGTGATTAATGATGCACTTGTTTTACATGTTATGTTGCAGGACATTCTTGATTTGGCTAAATATGCAAATGTACCTGTCATTAATGGCTTGACAGACTATAACCATCCTTGTCAAATAATGGCTGATGCCCTCACAATTATTGAGCACATCGGTCGATTGGAAGGAACTAAGGTTGCCTCTCTTGCTGCTAATTTCATGTGGTTTTTATTTTGTTTTAATGTGGCACAGCTAATTGCATGCATTTCTTGTTTTTTGCCTCTGATATGAATCTTGATTTGTAAAAGCTAACTTGCAATTCATGCCAATGTAAATCTCAGGTTGTCTATGTTGGGGATGGAAATAACATTGTCCACTCTTGGTTGTTGATGGCATCAGTTATTCCTTTCCACTTTGTTTGTGCCTGCCCCAAAGGTTTTGAACCAGACAAAGAGACGGTTAAGAAGGCTCAGGAGGCTGGCATCAGCAAGATTGAGATCACAAATGATCCAAAAGAAGCAGTCAGAGGAGCTGATGTTGTTTACTCTGATGTGTGGGCAAGCATGGGGCAAAAGGAAGAGGCAGCATATCGCCGTCAAGTGTTTCAAGGATTTCAGGTGTGTTTAGCAAAACTTTCTTTTCCAGTATATTGATATCCACACTAAATGATAATGATAATAGATCAATTTATCTTCATTAAAATTCAGCACTAGTTTTACGTACAGCTAATATTTAAAAGATTTGCTTGCTTCCCAATTTTAAGAACTCACACAGGCTAACATAATAGACATTCATTTTCAAATTTCATATGTTATATCTGCTGAATGATTGCCTATTTACAATTTTGTTTTGTGTATGTTGGGGGAGGGTTGGATCTGGTATGTGTTTCACAATTCATTATCCAGGAATATTGAGCTTCATGAGATTAGGCACCTTCAATTGTAATAACCTTTTAGGTCAGTGGTTGCTGGGTGTACTGATGATAAGAGAAATGCATACTTGAAAAAAGTTATAAAATGTTTAAGATTATGCAGGTCTTTGTTTTATCCAAAAACTAAAGTATAACTAACTAGTGGAGAAACCTTTTAGCCTTTGATTGAGTGTTTTTCTTAACATTCTAAATGTTTGCTTTGCCCTTTTTTGGCCAGTTGTGAAAATTTTAACATTGTTGGTTCAACCTCGCCAATATTTCTACCCTGAATATATGCTTGGATTTGCAGGTGGATGAAATGCTGATGAAGGTAGCTGGCCCTAAAGCTTATTTCATGCACTGTTTGCCAGCAGAAAGAGGAGTAGAGGTGACAGATGGTGTGATAGAGGCTCCAAACTCCATTGTCTTCCCACAAGCTGAAAACCGCATGCATGCTCAGAATGCCATAATGCTTCATGTTCTTGGTTTGTAATTGCAATTTGCGCCTGAATCGTACGTTATCTTGTTGCCTATCTTGCGTTTTTAAACGAATACGATCCAGAACAGACATGTTGGTGGTCTATATCTCAAATCTTCACCCTCCCTCGAATCTGATACCTGTAATTTAGAATGCCAAGTCATTTATATTCCTGGAGGGCAATATTTTTGTTTGATATGGAATAATCAACCCTCAAAATTAGCCAAAAAAGAAAAAAAGAAAGAAAGAGAGAAAAAAACAGTGAGAGAGAAACAAACCCAAGTAAAATGACTGTATGGAAGACGTTCAAGTACGAAAGAACTGGAGCTTTTGAACTTCAGCTTTTTAATGTTTGAGGTCTTAAACTTGAATCCTAGAATGTTTGGAAGAGTCTGGGAATTATTGTATGATTTATTATCTAATATATATAAAAGAGGTAGTTATTTACACATAAATTTTATTATATATATAATTTTAATTATTTATTTTTTTATTTTTAATAATTAAGATTTATTATAATTTTTTATATAAATATGAATAAATCTTAATTATTTAAAGTATAAAAATGAATTGTTGAAATTTTATATAAATGTAATATGTAAAACTTATATTTGAGTGGATACTTCATATTATATATATATATATATATATATAAAGGTGTGAGAAATCTATTAGGAGAAAAAAAAGTTGTCTTTAAATGATACAAACATAGTAAAAGAATTTACCTTTAAAAGGTGATTCAAAAATTAAAAATTAAAAATTTTAAATTAAGAATCTCACATTCAAACCTTGAATTAAAAAAAGAGAGCCTTGAATTAGAAAAAAAGAGATTTAAGAATATGAA